ATTGTAATAAAAATGATGAATTGAACTTTTCTTCTCACTTTATACAGCCAAAATACCTGAGATTTTTTAATATCAAGTTTGCGTACTCCAAAATCGTATTTATTCTACTTCCTCCAGTACCTAATAAGTTTGCGCAAGACTATTATCCATTATTAGATGTAGGTACGATCATGACCACTTGACTAAAAATTGGTTCACTTGGTTCTTACAAGCCTGTTAACTCACTACACAAGGGGAGGGGGACACTGCAAAAGGGCGTGGAAATCGCCACATTTGTCTCAAGATGTTTAATGCATAATAATCGGCACCGAAATATCATCGTATTAATATGCAGGGTCACCAAAGAAAAAGGCAATGTTATTTATCAAATATCAAAGCAAATTGGCAATATCTAGTACAACGAAACACATAATTCAACACCTAACGAGGGCCGGCCGAGTCCCCGATACCACCATGGCGACCGCTCAAGTCCAACTGGCCGGCAACTGGCCAATCAGGGGGCTTGTTTGTCATTTCTGGGTGGGATTAAAAAGCATGCTCTCACCACATGAAAGTGGCAGAAATGACAATGATCAGCTGACGCATTTTTCTTGGCCGAAGTCAGAGCGCGCGGCCCGACGCACCACCACCGCACCACAAAGTATGAGCAGAAGCCACCTGCGGTAGACCGCGCCCAAAGCCAGGGCCCCGGTAACGTGAGGTAGCCGAGTCGGGGCAGCGTGCGCTGACCCAAGCCGGGGCCGCGGCTTTGGGCGCGGTCTACCGCATCCCCGGGCAGTCCCGGGCTATCACATGACACCGGGAGGACGCGCGGCCCTGGCTTGGGTCAGCGCACGCTGCCCCGACTCGGCTACCTCACGTTACCGGGGCCCTGGCTTTGGGCGCGGTCTACCGCACCACCTAACAGGCGTGTTCGAAACCGCAGGAGATGATGATGAACGGGTTTATCGAAACTTGATTGGATGAGCCTATCGGTAATAGCGATTTCAGTGTGTGCATTTATTGTTCATAGTGGTGTGAAATGTGGTTGGGGTACGACCAACAACCCGTCGGGGCGAATTTCGCACTGGGGTACTCAAAATTTGAAGAATTTAAGACGTTTCCATGAGTTTTGAAGGTATGGATAAGTTCTAAAAATCCGGTTCTCCTTATCTGGGCCATTAACTCCATACGGTCCAGGAAAGCTGGCACACAACCCTATTAGTGGCAGGCTCCTGGTTAACCCTCGCCCGCACGTGGGGGGGGGGTTGCCACCCCCCAGGTAATCTTTCTGCTCTGCACTCAACATTTTTAAAGCTAGAAGCCTTATTTTTCGTAGAGCTGCTTCTCTGTCCATACTTGATGTCCACTGAAAATTTCAAGTTTCTGTGGTTTTTGGTTTCGGAGATATGACCTTGTTTTTCAGGTCATATCATAACCCAAATGACCAATTCTCAACATCTTGCGTTGGCTATGGGCCTTGTGAGCTTTTAACGCCTTGATTTCGGCCTTTTTTGCCAGTATTACCTCAAACCTATCATGGAACATGTTGTTCGACGATGTACAGATGTCAAAGTCAAGGTCAGGGTCAAGTGCAACCTAGGTCATCTAAGTTAATTGCGTTTTAGGCAAGCTGGATTTACTTTTCGTGGAGTTTTTTGACTGCGGTTTTGGTTAAAGCTTCTCAGATCATGATTTCATGTAATATGGACACATAAACAATCGGTGCACACACCAGTATACACACAGGCACACACAGACATACATACAAACACATTTCATTGACCTTGACCTAACTTGACCTGAAATGACCTCAGCAGCAAAATCCTGGTCGGGTAGTGTGACAAAGAGGTTTTAGCTGGCTTGGCACCAGAAAACGGCATCTTCATCGGTATATGATAAGCAGTGCACTTGATATCCAACGGTGACCCAAAACAGCAACATTTTTTTAGTTTGACCTGACCTGAAAGGTCAATGACTGACCTGAGAAGGTAAAACTGGGTATCGTTGAATGTGTCTCTTCCCAAAGAATCTTTTTGGTCCCTACCGCGAAGCTCTATCTCCAACAGGAACGAAATGGCGCGGGGGTGGCAACCACCCCCCATGTGCGTTCTAGGATGGGAAAAAGGCATGTGCGGGCGAGGGTTAACCAGACAGCGTTCGTGGACACCCTTAGAAACTGACTTAGGGACCACCTCAAATACTTGCGTCGGCCGGCCCTCATCAGCCTGGGGATCGCAGGCATCGCACAGTGGGGATTTTTCCGATCTAGCACGTCTTTATTCGCAGAGGGCAAACCATAGGTAGTATTGTAGCCAGATTGTGCACAGATGTTGTTTGGTGTGTTCTGGTGAGAATGTTACCTGTAAATGTGCATAATTAACATAGTATAGGGGGTTCAATTGGACCCCCGGCTCAGCCGTTTGGCCCCTGATCAAGCTAGAGCTTCGCGGAAAAATCAAGTGTGCTGCCTATGACGAGATGAGGCCGAATATATCCAATTTCAAAGTCCAAGGTCATTAGTTGACTTTCCAAGTCAGTTGGGTCAAGACCTCTTCAAACTTCGTAAAGTTAGGGTGTTACGGGGTATTTTGGGGTGCTAATCACGAATTTCATGTTAGTTTTGATCACAGACGATGTCTTAATGTATTTAGGCCAGGTCGGGTCAGGTCAGGTCAGATCAACCAGTAGGCGTCCTGCCGGCCATCCATAGGTAGGCCATCCATGTCACCTACATCTGACAGCTTCGTAACATGGTACGAAGGCACCACAACTACTTCGTAAATATTCAAATGGTTGCTAAATTCGAAATCAGCACCAAAAACTACCCAAGAAACAAGTAAAACTCGAAAAAGTGAACAAAGGTCATCAAAGGTCAATGACCTTGACTTTATCTTCACGTGACCTTGACACCCACCATAATGCATGGCATCAACATCATTTCACATATTTGAACGTTTAAAACCACAAAAAGACTGGAAACCGCGGATAACGTGAGCTGGCATACGCCGAATCGCGATTCCGGCCAAATATGGTCTCGAAAAATATGCCACAGGTCAAAGGTCAGTTGGGTCAGAGTCATGAAATTTTTAGGCTAGATGTAAAATTGATGATCTCGAGGGCACCGAAAGTTTTAACGCTATCGGCCGCTTTTTGCGCGAGTCATTTGCGGAAAACCATGGGGTTTTATCCGACCCCTTCCCCCTCCCCCTCCCCACAAGTGCGAGGGTGAATAAGGTTACGGTATGTATAATTTACGCTTGTCATCCTATTCCTAATTAATGTGTCTCAGAAAATATGCATCATATAAATCACGAAGCAAAATTATTCGCCTATGTCCGGAACATACCTATATCGCGCTGTTTGCCCTAGCGCTCCTAGAGTGCGGTATTAAGATACTCTAATATGAATATTCTGTGTTCAGGCAAGTTTCGGCAGCCAAACTAGGCGTTGTCTTGTGCAGGAGAAAGTGGCGAATTCGATAGGATATGTTTCGGAGTGGAAAAGTGTGGAAAACATTGTTGATTTCCTACATTTATTTAGAATAACATTCCTTCAATATGGTGTCTGTAAGGGTTTTTATAAATGGCATTCTTGTGACATTTGGTAAAGTTGTGGCATACTTTCTGTTTGCCATTCCCTTCCTAATAAAGGTGCCTTTCAGAAGATATGCAACTTAAAGACCTCGCAAGAATAAAACCAACAGGACAGGACAATGAAACTGAACTATACTTTCGGGCCTTCCTGAGCCCATTGAGTAATCACGCATGAGTGTGAACTTTGGGCGCATTTTTCCTAGTCTTGCTGTGGACATACAGATAAAACAATGCCATATATGAAAATTCCGACATTTCTTAGCCCCACTGACACAAAAAATAAACAAAACTCCAAAAAAGATTTTTGGAATTAAGACGCGCTAGATCGGAAAAATCCCCACTGTGTGCAGTGGCGTGACCTTTCCATTACAAGTCAATGGAGAAAAATGAAAATGCCTCTATATCCGTGTGTACGCATAGGAACAGTCCAATTATTTCAGAATCACAATGATTTAGACCACTCGTGATGACCAAGGTGTCATTTTTGCTGATAGCCTCTAGAAAGGTCATCCGAGGTCATTTGAGGCTACAAACAGTTTTTTTGCCAATAACTCGCAATTGGAAAAAGATAGAACGCTGGGGATGGTCTCATTGTGTTTGTCTGGTTGAGACGCAGCGACTGATATGCAGCATGACCTTTTCCGGTCAGGTCATGACCTTGACCTGAGGTCAGATTTTCAAATGACCTTTTAAGGTCAAATTATAGTTCATTCGACGCGTCTCGGCGAGAGGAACACGATTCTGGCAATAGAAATGTGGTGGCTTTTTGGAGGTAAAAGTTATTGTCGAAAAACGCTTTTCGTAAAAACAGCTATTTTTGGAGTTTTTACCCTCTGGAGGCTAAACCGTTGACCTGAGGTCAATTTTGATAATGACTTTATCAAAAGAAGAGTTCAAAAGCTATCGATTGCTTTTCAATGCATTTTTATAGCTACCATAGTTCCTGAGAAAGCGGCATGTTTTCTGAAAAATATAATGACAATTGGCAAATTTTGACCTTTGATGACCTCTGGTGACCCCAATATTGCTCTAAGGTGAAAAATGACCGAAATACTTTCAAACGTACGCATTGAGAACTATCGACTGCTCTTTACCGCGTCTTTTTAGCCCTCTTAGTTTTTGAGTTAGAGGTGGGTGGTAACATATGCCCCCCCCCCCCACTAGGGCGAAGTTGGCCGAGACCGCCACTGGGGCGCGGGTTAAAGCTTATTTGGAAATATTATTCATACCTGCAGTACAATGTGCGCTAACCAGTTTTCTAGGTATTTCAGCTAGCAATTCTCTTGATTTGTTCAAAAAAATATTTACAGTGAGGGTCGAACTTAGAAAAAACGAACTATAGTTGGAAGGTGTCATAATCGGCGAGACATCAATCGGTTGTTCCCCACTACGGGACGTGTGATGATCTGAAAAAATCATTTTCAGCCTGGATGTCGTACCGAAGGGCTCCATGAGGAGCCTGATCGAAGAGATGATTCAGAAAACACCAGGTGACAGACCATCAAGCAAGTACGTGGCCAGGCATCCGACCTTCTGGGAGCCGAAGAAGACGCAACTGTTTTACCAGGTTAGCTTTCATGGAGTTTGGTTTTTTTTTAGCAAAAGCTCCGAGGGCCGTCAGGCCCGAGGTGCTTTCGCTAAAAAAGCGAGGTGTCAGGTGAAATTTATTGAATTCCCTTCCTCAGGGCTGAAAGGTGTTTTTTCAGGGGCTTACGGTTCTATGCTGCCACATAGGGAGGACTCAGGAGACAAATGACGTCACGGGGTGTCAAGGTTTTGTCGATTTTAACCCGCGCACCGACGGGGGTCTGCGCCAACTTAGAACCGACGGGGGGGGGGGGGCGGATGACCGCCCCCCTGAGATCTTGAGAACGAAGCTAGATAACAACAAGCGGTAAGCGGCATGGGATACGCATGGACAAGGTCTACAATTTTTACAAGTTCATTTTCAGGTCAGGTCAAAGATGACGTCACAGGGATCAAAAAAATCCAAATGGTGGCGCTAGATATAGAGTTTTTCTCGAATAACTTTCGAACTAGTCAAGATAGGGACAAACTAAGGGCATCATCATGATCAGTGGCGTAGCCAGAAATCAGCGAAAGGGGGCCATGGTGCTCGAGGGGGCGACTTTTCCCTTGAGAGGGGTGCCGTTGTGAGCTAGTGACAGGGGGTCAATCTAAAATGTAACGTCATATATTCATGCATGATTTACTAGGTGTTGCAAAATACGAGTATAAAAACCAGGTTTCGCTGATTTTTCATAAAATCCAATTATTGCAATTTGCAGCCCGGTGTTTTTTTTATCAAAAGCCTTAATCTTTATGCATATTTAGCACGATATAGGAAACGAGCTCAGGCTACGGACATGCTATCTCAAAACACACACCCATGCAAATTCGAAACGGTAAAATATACGTTGATCGATAGGCACAATCTTTATTCTTTGCAAAAAAAAAACATGCAAGTTCACTCACTGATCCAAAGTGACCTGTGGACTGCAACCTCTGGTCGACCGGGGTGGCCGTGCTTAGAATCTCAGACACTCATGACTTCATGAGTGCCAGATGGGTGAGGCGTGAGACTGTCCCATATAGTGGCACGAAGGTTAAGAATGTCTTCGGCCGGCGAGGTATAGAAGACGACTTTTGATGATGTGAGTGTGCATGGTCGACTTTAATAACCCGCGCCCCGCTGGGCTATTCAGCCATACGCGCCCTGCTGGGGGGGGCAGATTCTGCCCCCCCCTGTCTAACTTCCGAACCGATGGTCGTAGAAAGACGGGGAAAACGGCAATCGAAAGCTCGCAACAAGGCGGATCTTAAGAGCCCAAATTTTTTTGCTTAAGTAGGTCAGAGGTCAGGTCAAGGTCAGGTCAAGGGTACAAAATGCAAGTTTCTACAGTATCGGCCTTGCACCGTAGTTGCCGAAGAATGGACGGAGACTGATTGCCCAAAACGTGTTCTTAGACTACCAAGACAATATTCGTTGCACACAATGTCATTCAAAGGTCAAGGTCAAGGTCAGGTCAGGTCAGGTCAGGTCACCAAAAACAAAATATTAGAAAAGGGCATGTGCGACACATGTTTTATGGGTCATTTTACTCATGGAATTCAATAGGCACACTCAATAAGTGATATGGACCACCTCTGGATGAATTTCAGGTCGAGGTCAGGTCAAGGTCAGGTCAAGAGGGGTCAAATTTCGAAGTTGGTTGTTAAGGCCTAAAAAGGTGTCTATCCGATGCAGTTTTTCACGGCGAATCGAATGGTGCTATTTTTATTTCCGTACGAGGTCTAGAACTTCCAAAAAAATCATTTTTCAAATTTTTTGTGTGTCGTGACGTCATAAAATTTTGAATAACTCCCACATTTTTGAACCGATTCTTCTAAAAATTTGTATGTAGGTGCACATAGACCACTTCTTTGACATATATTCCGTTTTTTTCGATAAACTCAAAATTTTGGATTTTATTAATATTTTCCCAAAAAAGTCAGTTTTTTGGAAAAATTTTGGCCAAAATCCAAAATTTTCAAAAAACCGAGATAGCCATTTGATAGACAAAGTAGAATCACGTATAACCTTTTTTGTTACGTCCTGATTCCTTTAAAAATGAAGAAGTTAGCGGCGTTTGAAATTTTGCCGTTTTTTAGGCGAAAACGGCGAACATGACGTCACTAAAACGTCAATTTCTCAAAAATTTTCCGACGGATTTCGCTCAAATTTTCAGGGAACGTGTCAAATTGATGTATGATAAGGTACTGAAAGTTTGACGTCGCTGGCGTAACGCGTTTAGAAGTTATTGGCGAAAAACGGGAGGGGGGGCAGATTCTGCCCCCCCCCCCCCAGCGGGGCGCGGGATAAGCGCCATAGAAACCTGCTGATCTCACCGAACATTCGCCTTGCGTACTCCTCAGACCAAATATCTACATTGAGATGGCCAGGTCAATTTTGCGACCTCTCTATTATCTATTAGTTAACCCGCGCCGTGCTGGTGGCCTGTGCTTTCCGTGTCGTGCTGGGGGGGGGGGGGGGCGTTTTCAAGTCCCCCCTCTAACTCGGCTCCTGGGCCACGTAGCGACACGCAGTAAGGGGAAATCGAAAAAGCGTCAAAAATAATGACGGAAAGACTTCGTTTCAATTTTTAGGTCAGGTCAAAGGTCAGGTCAACAGAGGTCATCAAAGGTAAAATTTAGTCCATTTCAACAATTTTGGAAACTGCCAACGGCTAACTCGGGAACCAATAGAGCTACAGCGCCGCGGAACGTGTTCCTCTCGTCGAGACGCGTCGAATGAACTACTATACGTTGACCTTGAAATGTCATTTTGAAAATTTGGCCGCACGTCAAGGTCATGACCTGACCGGAATGGGCCATGCTGCATATCAGTCGATCCGTATCGTCGAGCTGACCACATCTGACGTGTTTTCACCACTCAAGCACGTCTCTATCATATCCAAAAAACTGCTGGTTACCGTTTATGACCTGAAATGACCTCAAGGGCACACAAAAGGTTAACAGGTGCATTTTTACGATTCAGTGTGTTATGTTTACCTATGAACCGATGTTTGTATTGTATTTGTATTTGTATTTACATTTAAGAGCGATCCACATACAAAGTGCGTGGCGATTACTGCTCAGAATCCGTATCCGCGGTTGCTAATCTAATCATTCAAAACAGTTGCACATTCACTCACGTCAAAACAAGGACAAAACACTCTCAGGACAGCCTCATCGCTTTTACCCACCCCTATCCTATTGGTCAGCGACGATGTGCTGATTCATCGTCCACGATTGCGGCTTTAACAGCGCGGGCGAAGCGGGCGGGAGGCAGCTGCGACAGGTGAGGTGGCAGGCTGTTCAGCAGAGCTGCAGCTCGATAGCCAAACCGCCGCTTGCCCGTTTCCAGCCGTGGACGGGGAAGATGGAAGAAGTGATCTTGTCTGGATGGTCTCTCGCGGATAGCGCTATTAGCGACGAACAGGGCTGCTAGTTGCTCAGGTTCACGGCGCTGTATGACCTTGTGTGCGATGACAAGGGTGTGGAAATCGGACATACCGCGCGGGGACAACCATCCGAGTTTTGTTCGCAGGTCGGAGACATGGTCAAATTTACGGCGGCCGAAAATAACTCTAGCGGCGAAGTTAAGAATTTTTTGGAGTCGATCGAAATTTTTTGGGACCCATTACCATAAACTGAAAGGCAGTACTGGATACGCGATACAACGAGTGCCGTCACGAGCGTTCGAATGATGCCATCTGGGAGACAGTGGCGCGCATGTGAAAGACCAATCAGCAGTCCCGTACACCGGCGGCAGAGTTCAGAGACGTGTGCGTCCCATGACATAGTGCTGTCAAAAGTGACGCCAAGGTTCCCGACTTGTGCGCACGGTTGCAACGCTGCGTTGCGGAATGGTACTCTAAAGTCTGGTAATTTACGAAGATTTTGACGAGTGCCAAATACAATAAGCTGTGTTTTACTTGCGTTCACTTTGAGGGCGTTAGCGCAAAACCAGTCGTTGAGAGACGCGAGCGAGTCCTCCATGCGCGAGATGAGAACTTCGAGGTCCCGAGCTGGACCGCTAACCAATACTTGAGTGTCATCGGCATACTGAAACACTTTTGCGTCGCCCGCGTATAGCGATAAGTTGTTAGAGAAAATGGTGAAAAGAAGCGGCCCTAACGCAGAGCCCTGGAAGACACCCATGGCATTAGAAAGAGGCCTAGACAGCACTCTACGTCCGGATACATCTTTCAAAGACACGCTCTGAGTGTGTTTGGAGGGTTTTAAACGACATTCGTCCAAAAGAGGCGCATTTCACTTTTCTCCCACTGACTTGAGGTCCCAAAATTGACCTGACCTTAGGTCACAGAAATAAAAAGTCCGAGATGAGCATTTTATACCTACATATTGTTAGTCTTATCAATCTCTGAAAGTTTCAAAAGTGATCGTTCAGTCGTTGGAGCTATAGCGGTCCTTTAAACTTTTTTTGAGGTGAGGCCACTTGACGTGCCCTGGTGACCTGACCTTGAACGACCCTGATCTGAAATTTTCACAAGCTGTGTAGAAAAGATGTATAGTATAAACAGGTGTACCAAAAACAGCGGCGCTGCGCGACGCCGTTTTTGAGATATTCGCGAAAAAAACCTAAGGGGGCGGAACCCCCCTTCCATCACGGCGCAGATTAATGGGAGACAATTGAAATGCTCTTCTCCTGAACGAAAACAACCTCAAACATCGGGATTCAGATAAATATGACACATTTAATCGGTAAATGTCACTCGTGATGTGATCATTTTTATGTTACTGAGGTAATCTCAGATCATGAAAGGTCTCCAGTAGATTTTGGACAATAACTTTTGATAGAGATATTATAGACCAATGAAACACCCTATACATATAATTATTTTCCTTCTCGAAAATATGGATCGACTAATATGCAGTATGACCTTTCCCGGTTAGGTGATGACCTTTACCTTAGGTTAAATTCTCAAATGCCCTTTAAATGTCAAATTCTAGTTCATTTGACTCGTCTGTCTCGAAAAATGGAACACGATGCTGGATAAACTA